TCGCAAATCTATGCCTAATTAAATTTCCTGATGTTCTTTATAAACAAGATAGTTCATTAGTCAATGAAATAGATTATAGACTTTCAGAAATTTCACAATTCTGAGAGTTAAAAATATTCACTAATGGACTTCAGTTAATCTCTAGAATGACTGCAAAAGAATATCAAATTTTAATGAAAGTAATGATATTTGTAGTAGACAACTTATATAAAGAAAATAAAAATAAAGTTGAAGATTTTGTTAAAAATAAAAAATTATCAGAAATATATATAAAATGGAACCAAATGTACATGATAAGCAGATCAGAAGTATTTATAGAAAGTAATCTCAAAAATTTTCAGGTGCATTGTTAAAAAATTAAGATCTTAATTTTACAAATTATGTACTAAATAATTTTATTTTTCAGAAAGATACCTTCGAATAGGCAAAATTATTTTTGAAATATTTAAACCATATTCATGTTTCAATTTAAAATTTCCAAAATTTCATTCATGAATTTATCATATCTTTGAATCAATTTGTCAGTTCGGCGCAATAAATGGTTTCACGACGGAAACCTACAAAAGTTTACATAAGGATTTTGTTAAAATTCCTTATTGAATAAGCAATAAAAAGAATATGGAAGAAATAATAAGAACAGTAAGTTATCTATTTTATGAATCTTAAATAATATAAATTAACTTAATTAATTTGTAACTTTTTGATCTTAAGCTGAAACAGCAAGATATAATAAGAATGATTGATAAAAACAAAAAATAAAAATGAAGTTAATGAAAGTGTTAAATTTTTCAAAGAAACTTTTTGAAATGAAACTAACAGAAGCAGATACATATTTTCATGAAAAAGTGAATGATTCAAATATTAATGACAATATGATTAAAGGCTTTGAAAGGTTTTTGAAATGTTTTGATTCTTTTTTGAAAGATATTTTGAAAGTTGATGATATTGAGAAATGTAATATTATTGTATATGGTAAGGCAACCTTAGAAAATGGATCAATAATAAAAATGATTAACAAATATCATAATAAACTATGGTTCAGTAATGTAGCAATTTCAATAGATTCCGATGAATCTTCTAACTATCAATTTGACTAAGGATTATGTTACGGTAAAATTTTATTAATGGTAAAAATAAAAATTTGAAAAAAGCCTTCATTGAGTCTTTCATTAGTTCAATTATTTTAAACAGGAACAAGTATTCCAGTTGAAAGAATATTTTCAGGTGGTACTGATTTAATTACACAAAGAAGAGATAGTTTAAAACTTGATACTATAAGAATGTGTATGTGTTTAGAAAGGTGGTTAAAATTAGAAAGAAATATACATGAAAAAACATGTAAATTTTTTAATATTTTGAAAAATATTTAAATTTTTACAATTTCTATATATAATTATTTTTTTAAACTTATAATAATTTCTTTTGTAACAGTTTATATTATAATTTACTATAATAGTTAAACATAACTCTAACAGAAAAAAATTTTTTGAACCATTTTGAACTGGTGCAAACCAGTTCAGTTCAGTTTGGTTCCAGTTCGGTTCAGTTCAATATTTCAATTTCAGTTTCAAACTGAAATCAGTTTTTAAATTTTGATTCAGTTCCAGTTCAATGTTAGAACTGAACTGAACTGTAACATTAGGAGCTTTACTCACTGTGACTTCATGATTAATTGATTATTATTTAATAATTATTATTATTTATTATCTGTTTTGAGATAGGCCAGTTAAATCAATTGTATTAGCTGTGACCTACTGGCAGATAGATCATATTATTATGTTTGTGTGATGTAAACTTTGAGACTAATTTGAGAAATTTTTCAAAATACTCTGCACAGTTGTGACACTATAAATGGTATAATACTAATAATATTAATATAATAACTGTTATTAGATAATATTAAATATAAATAATTAATAATAATTAATGTTAAGTAATTTATATTATCTGTTTTACATATGATTAAACTAATATGTTTAAAATTTTAATAATAAGTTAAATAATTGTTCATTCTTTGTTATAATGTATTGATACTACTAATTATATTGAATGTTACATTTTATACCATAATAGTTTCCCTTCTACTTAAGCAAAATGTTCCCATTTTAACTAAATTTTAATATTCAATTTCAATAATTTTTTCATTCAAGATATTAGGTAAGAATTCTTCTAGTTGTTCTACTGTCAGAAGAGATTCTTTAGTTTTAATTTTTATATTAGGATAAATTTCAAACATACACTTTTTATAAGCTGATCTAGACTCCTATAATAGTCTATATTACTTTCTCCAACTCTCCCTCAACATATTAATCTTTTTATACTTTCTTCAACTAGAGTGTTTCACCAGATAACTTCTGCATCTCTTTTTAAGTAAATTCCAGTACTTCCCATCACATCCATAAATATTATAATTGAGAATAAATTTCTATACATGATAAGTATATCAGGTTCACTTTCTCTTGTCATTAATTCATAAATCATGTATTTCTAATCCATTTCTCTAATCTTATTACAATTGTAATCATTTTTTCTTGACTAATTTTCTCCTCTTTATATTTCTTTAAATTCTCTCCATAATCTATTATCCTTTGTTTTAAATCTTTAGTTATAAAGGATTTATCCATGACTCCCACACTTTTCCTTTGGTTAATAAAATATTTCCTACACATTTGAGCAAGTGTAGACTTTCCTGCTTTACAAGTTCCTTCTATAATAATAATTCTTGTTTCATTCTGTCTTCCTTTAAATGCATGCTTCAGTGAATCAATAACTGGTTCTTTAATAATATCTTGTACATTCATTATCTGGCTCAGTCAAGGTTGGTCTTCTTCTAGTTCTTAAGAAATAAATGTGAACCATCCTCCATTCATCTTTTCTATAATAATGATTTGTTCTTTCATATTCTAAATCTTGTAATATTGCTTTTATACCTGTTTCTTTCAACAATTCTCTTTGAACTACTTGTTTAGCTGAAATATCCGAAGCTTCCACATGTCCTCCAGGATGTTGTAAATAATTATAAAACTCTTTCTTAGAATTAATTCTTTTACTAATCCAAATATTTCTAGAATTTCTTTCAAATAAGATTATAGAAACATATTCTTTTATAACTATATTATAAAGATTTTCTATGTCTAATTACTTCCTGAATTTTTATCTGGATAAAATTTCAAAGATATTTATATCTTTTTACTTTCTCTGTGTTACTTCTTCCTATTACTTTGTTAATTATCAGTTATTATTTTCTGTTCCTTCATAATTAATAAATGTATCAAATTCTGCTAAAATTTCTTCAATGGTTTGTTGCTCCTTAAACAATATTTCATCCTTTCTTTCCATTTCAAGAGTTTGGTAACTATTAAATAAATTATTGAATTCATAAAGCTCCTCTGCTCTTTTATTGCTTATTTCTTGTTCTGTAATATATAAAGTTTTGTACATATTTATACTACTTTGTGAGCAGTATATATAATTTGTCCCTTCCTCTTTGCAATTTCTACAATGGAAAATTGATTCATTTTTATCACAAATTACTTTTTCCACTGTTTCATATTCTTCAATTTTCTTACTTAATTTTTTATTTTCTATTGCTACTTCCATTACTTTTTGTGTCAAATTTATATTCTCATCTAATTTGATATTGATTAATCTTTTTGCCTTCTCCTTTTCTTCTTTCATCTGTTCAATTTGTTTTACAAGAATTTCTTTTTCTTCTTTTATTGTTTGTACTTGGTTTCTTAATTTTCTATTCTCTCTTTCCTCCTCAGTTTCTATATCAATAATCATTTCATTCTCATTTTCTATTTTATCTTGTTTGCTTTCTCCTATTTTCAAGATTTTCTTTAATTCTTCAATTTTTGGTGTATTCTTTTGATAATGCTAGATTCTTTTGTTCCACTGCTGTTTTAAATATTATCTTTACCATATTTTCCAAGGTCCAAAATTTTTCTTCCTTGATACACTCTTTGCATGTTTGTCTATATCCCATTATATAAATTTTATGTTTCCTGCAGTAATAGTGACTACAGTTTTGATATTCTCCATTGTATATACAATTTGGAACTGGACATCTAGATCCTCCAAAATATCTTCTAATTGTCCTTTGTTTCATAGGACAGTTACACTTCCTTTTTTCATGCTCATGTTGTTTACAATATTTAGCCTTTCTATTGTAACATAAACATATGGGATATTCATTTCCTTCATTATCATAGTCAATTGCTCCAAGTGGACAATTTGCTTCATCATGAATTATTTTTGTATCTGCATTAAAATAATTCTTTATGGTCCATAAATTGACATCTTTCAGTACAATATTGTTCTCTCTTCCTTTGTTCTTTCTCTTGCCATAAAGTTTCTTTTCTGAGTTGTTTTTCTTGCATTGTATCAGTGGTATGATTGTTGACAGGATCATATTCAGATGGTGTTTTGTTTCTTTTTCTTTCTCTTCCACTTTTATATCTTCCTCTTCTTTTGTTTGGATAAAGTATCTCTTCTATGTCAGGTATATAAGTTTTGTTTCTGCATTGATAACATTGTTCATAATTCCATCCACTAATTGTTTTGGTTCTCAAGTTTATCATCACAGATTTTCTGCAGAAACAACAATGTGTATCTACATTCCAATTAGGGTCTTGATTGTCTCTCTGTCTTGCAGCAGTTTTAATAATTGAAAATCTATCACATCCACATACCATTTCTCTATTATTTCTATATCTAGGATTATCACACTCTTTTCCAAACTTATGGGAGTTGAGATGTACTTCAAATTCTCTTCCACACCTAAAGCAAGGTCTTCTGGTTTAAATCTTCTTTGAGTATTCATTTGTTATAGTTTCTATAAAAATACTTTTTGTAATTGATTTAAAATGTTTCTGGAATTAATGTTCAAAATTTCTTGTAATAATTTGTAATTCTCCTTTGACTTGAAGATTTTATCTGTCTTTATATAGATTTCTTAACTTTTTTCTCACGAAATTATTATATGGAATTGGTTATAGATGCGCGAAGCAAAAATAAGCTTTGAATTTTCTTCTGAAACCTGTGAACACCATGTTAAAATTATAATAGATGGTATGAGTATTCCATTAATTAATGAAGATTTTAATAAAGTCAGCTCCACTAAAAATGACCCACCTAAATCTGATCTATCATTGGAGAAACTTATGAGTATAATTAAGAAATCTCTCGATCCGATAAAATTTCAAAAGAATCGTGTCCATATTACAAAGAAAAAGATTGTCTCTCCTATTCGAAAATATCATAGAAATAAGCTTCATAATAAGGTCAATTTTTTAGAGTAGTGATCTATCCAATAAGAATATTTAAAAAAATCCAGAAATTATTAACCAATCGCATTATGTGCTAATCATCTATTGGGTGAGTGGATACATTTTTAGTATCTTTTACTACGAACCAATGCCACAGACTGCAGATGAACTGTACACTGGTAAATCAGTGATCACTTTAGTATGAAATTTAGTCACATTTTTGTGTGATCCAATTTTTATACATATTTTTTCATTTTATTTTAGCCTGGAAAATACTTCTATATATATATGCTTTGTGATAAGAACATGCGAAGACGAGACTTTAAAGGATATAAGGGTAAAGAGCCTGTTGATTCCTATTAGCTTCGCTATCAGAAATTATGAGTCATGGGGGTTCGAGATTGCAAGATCGTCATTGCGTTAACTGATTTCAACTTACGAGAGTGATCTCGGACTAAAAAAGAAATTTCATTCATACGTATATGACCAGTTGCTCCACATATTCACATGCCTTGAAGTTGATTGTATAATGATAACACTTTTTATGGAGGCTGAATCATAACAGGCTTACCTTTTTGACATCTTACAGTTAATTTCTGATAGTCAGTTTTGATATGCTAGGAAAAGGGTATGACATAATATAAAGGTTGGTACGAGAAAATTGGATTTTTATCTAGTAAATATAAATACAGTATTAAATAATGTGTTTATTTAGATGTAAAAATATGGAATCACGTTATATTGATATCAACTGTCTTGTTTTTGACATGCCTTATAGTGATGCATTTTCCATTAAAATTGGTTGTAGTGATATGATCAGAATCTACAATGGGTACAGTATTTGTGCAGACTCACTTATTTTATTGAAAGTCAATAAACCACTTGGTAGAACAAACGATAAACTGATATTTAATTGTTTTGAGGAAGAAAAATTAGTTGCAATTGTAAAAATTAGGGATTATGAATGGCTGGACACTAGGAAATATCTCCAAGTGATTATTAAACTACCTGGTAATTGGTTCTAAACTTAGTTTGTGTCAGAAAGTTATATATTATCAACTTTAGCACTTTGTACTAGCTCCGCTAATTAATAACTTATTTCCATCTCTCAGAAATTGTTCGACTAACAACAATAACTCTCAATTGCCTTGTTATTCCGAGTGGCTCACCTGAAAATCTCTCAGTACATGATGTTATTTCACTCCAGACTTCTTACGATGAAACAGTTGATAAATTAAGGTTAATGATTAGGGAGCGGTGGGCACCTGTATTTGAAAATATTCTTCCTACCAATTTTATTCTTCATCATATCGATAGAAGTACATCTACGACGATCAAAAATCAAATCGATTTTTATAAATTAGGACGTGGGGAATATGGTGATAATAGTACAGAATTATCTCCAGGTAAATTAATTTATAAATATTTCCGCATCCAGCCTTTTAGTGAAAAAATTCATATTATTGTAAAATTGGGTACCCAGACATCTTAATAATTAGATTTTTTATATTTGTATTTGCACCATGTAATAGCGATGTGTATTCGCATTTTTTTTGAGGTTTTATCTCATATATACCCGTGATATTTTTCCGGAAAGTTCGTTCCATTGTTATACATACTAATATGGGAGAAATAATATTCCGTATAATGTGATCTTAAAGAACCAATACCATGGATCGCCGATATGAAACTGTATGTATATCGAAATGAGATTAATGAGATTGGAATTACAAATATAAAGAAAAAGCAAAATAAATTAAAACATAGATGCCATAAATTACATTTACAAAATAATACATATTTAGATGATAAACTTACAGTATTGCCAAAATGGACTAGCGGTAATTCTGAAGTTGACAAGATTTATTCATATGTTTCAATCAGATAAAAATGCAAATGAATGGGAAATTTGGAGTTGGATAGATTGAAGTAAATTAAAAAATATAGAATTTTTAGCTAAAGTAGGTTTTGGTAGTATTTGGAAAGCTGAATGGATAGATATGCCTGAAAAATTATTTGAGTTTTATAAATCAAACCAAGTTGCCTTGAAGAAACTTAAAAATTCAAAAGAAATTAGTTCGGAAAATTTAAAAGAGGTAAATATTAATATATCACACGTTGTGTTTTTGTATATTAGATAATATATTTATTTTAAATTTTTAATCTTTGTAAATATAGTTAACTGTAAATTTTCAATATCGTGATAAATATGTTTTACCAATTTTGGGTATAACTCAAGATTCTATGACAAAAGAGTATGCAATAGTTTTACGGTATATCAAAAATGGAAATTTGAGAGATTTTCAAATCATTACCTTTGATTGAACGATTATGGTTATTGAATTCTTTATCAAGGGATTATATAAAATTCACAGTAAAGGATTCATCCATCGTGATATTCGTCCTGGAAACCTAATTACAACTGCAGTGTATAATAATTCAAAATATAAATTTATTCGATTAGGAGATTTAGGATTATCGAGATTAGCAGATGAAACCTCATCATCTGGAGCACATGGTGTGTTGCCATATATTGCACCTGAGATATTGAATAAACATCAATATTCACAAGCTTTGGATATTTATAGTGTTGGAATTATTATGTGGGTAATTTTAACAGGGAAAAAACCAATTGCCAATAGAGCATATGACCAAAAATTAGCAGCTAATATTTTCAACGGACTTCGACCAAAAATTAATAAAGGCACACCTCAATGTTATATAGATTTAATGAAAAAATGTTTGCACGAAGATCCAGCTGAACGTCCAAGTGCTTTAATCATTTATTTTGCATCAGAAAAATGGATTAATGATTTGTTGTATGATAAAAAAACAGAACACTCATTTATGTTTTTAAATGCGAATCAAAAAATGCAAGAAGAAAATGAAGATGAAGGTGAAAATTTATATTATGATGAAGCTACTCAAGCTACTCATCCTGAAGCATACATTACAAGTAAACCTATACCTACTATTGATTGTAACATAGATAATCTGGTTGCTAGATTATTTGGATAAAAATTATATCAATCTAACAATTTTTTTTTTTACCAAATCATAATGTAATTTGAGTTTAAATTTAATCTAACTGAAATTTCTTAATTTATTGGCTATCTATCCATTTTGACTGTTTTATAATATTTAGTTATTATTATTTTTATACGAATTTTTGTATTTTTATGAAAAATAAATAAATATTATAAACATTTATAATTTATGATATTCTGTTTTTTACTACTTTGATTCAAAATTTTTGAATTCAATGCATTTGTGTTGTGTGTGCAATATATTGAAAAGGTTTGTTTGATAAATATTTGCAAATTTTTATTACTCCATAAACAATTCCACAATGATGTATAAGTCATTTATGTACTAGATTTCACATGGTTTTATTTGAATTGAGTTATTAATTTTGTGCACCATATTACAAATTACATATTTTTAAAATGTACAAGTATATTGAAACGAAAAAAAATCCGACTAAAATTTATAAAACTAAAGAAATCTGTTTTACAGTTATGGCATACGCATCTTGTTCTTTGTTTTTGTGAACACCTTGATTTCCTAAATATAAAAACTTAGAATAATGTATTATTCAAAATTCTCTCAAGAATTAAATATTAATCGCGGCAATCCCAAAATTCACTTACCATGTTAAAGTTAAAATTTATTGAAATCTCTCATCATAACAATAAATAAATAAAAAATATATTCAAAGAAACTTAAATTTTCAAGAAAACCAAAACTTAAAATAATAAATTAACATCATCAACATTATTTTTCAAAAATATCAATAACCACTATTATTGTAATTATAATAATTACCATCGATATATTAAAAAATATTATTCCTCTCCTTTTAATGAATTCAACAATAAAATTATTGACTAGAGGTGCAGACTTATAGTGTGAGGTCATGACAACCCTCCAAGTCACGGCATAGACGCATCTTTTTTTATTAAAATTTGTCGTAAGTCGTGACTGCAGTAGTAAGATGTGTCATAACTATATAGATTGTTATTATTATCCCTTCAACTGTAGACTTCCACATGCTACTATTTTTAGCAGGCAAATTTTCCTGCCCTATAGTTGAAGGATAATAAACGTCTTACTGCATTGTGACAAATTGACGTGATTCAGATCCTAGCATAAGTCTGCGTCCTAATAAATTATTATCGTCATCATTACATTTTATTTGATGTAAATCCAATATAAATGGTACAAATAATATAAATAATATAAATAATATAGATAACAAGTAATAATACAAATATTAATAGTATTAATAATAATAAATAATAATATTATTATAATAATTCATTACCAATCATCATCATCGCCGTCATTGTTTCATTTTGTTAGACATTATTCAACAGAAACAACCGAACTAAAGTCCCCGTGACAAAACGTGAATATGTTAATAAATTGGTGGGACTTGATAAACCGTGAGTGAAATATTTATCTATTAAAAATATTTGGGATTATCTTTGAATTAATGACTAATGAATTAATGAAATGATTAATGATTGATAAATGTGATGATTTAATTGGAAATGTAAAAAACCTAAAAGTAAAACGCAGATCAAGGCAGAAAGAATTTCTGTAGAACCGCTTCCTGTCGAGACACCGCAACAAGTTGATTTCGAAACATTGAAAGGTGATAGGAAGAATAATAATCAAATAATAATTAAATATAACGATATAATAGATATAATAATAAATATAATTATGATTTAATAATAGATAGGACATGATGAATTAGAGGCATTAGGGTTAGTAATAGTAATGCTGAAAAGTAAAAATGTAATGTTAGTTAAGTATTTGCATTATTACAATTAATTATTTATACGTATATTATATTATTTATATATTATTAATATTATGACGACGTAATATTATTTATTATTAGGCAGTCAAAGAACACCTCTCCGAAATTTATCTAAAATTTAAACGAAGAGGAAAGGTTTAAATTATTGGATAATTTCCCTAAATGGGCAGAAGTATTAAAATTAATAAATTTTACACTAGTCAGGAAGGTGAATTCTCTATAAGCTTTATAAACACATATCAACTCAAAATAACCAATGTGGTCGAATTCATTTATTAGTTTATTATCTCATTTTTAATTTATTCACAAAGCTAACCTTTGTGTATCTTCCAAATAGTACTTCATTATTATTATTGTTCATATCTAAAGAAAAGACATACGAAAAAGAATGATCTTGCTGGAAATATTGATGCAATGAATAATATCAGTTATTGTTACAATAGGTAAAGACAAAGCGGATGCATTATATGGTTTTTAAAAGCTGCAGAAAAGATACATAGCTCAAGACGTTTTTTATGCAATCAAAAGAAAAGCATTTGAATTGTTTAAAAAGTTGCAGAAAATGAAGTCAGTAAATAATTGGAGAATACTATAATCAGGGACGTGGAACCGAAAAAGATATTGTAAAATCTATATACCGTTTTAATAAACCAAAGGAAGAACAATTATTAGAAAAAATAATTGATTATAATTGTCGAAGATCAAATATTCTATATCGATTTCACAACAGCAGATCTAGCTTCATATATTGATTGTACGACAGGCTTTTTAACGTTTATTATTGTTATACTGTAAATAGAAAGCGCTCAATTAAATTTTACAAAAAATGTTTAATTTAATGTAACCACTATATTAAGAAATTTTTAAAGAATGTTAATCATTCGAAGAGGTACTAATTAAAGACTACAGGTACAAGTATTTGACCCGTCGCTTTATTTATCCCTGATTTTAATCCCAACAATATCTGCCGATCAATGCGTATGTGGTGTTACCTTTTAATTAATTATATTTCCAATTTTAGAAATCATGAATAATAAATATTAAAATTTTACATAATATGAACTGAAAAGATTGTGACTTATATTATTCTACGAGAAACCTATTTTAGAAATAAAAAGAGTCATTCGTACCAATCATATGAAATTCTAGAATGTAAATTGTTGAATCGTACAATGGAAATTTTAATATTTATACATTGACGGAAATTGAATAGAATTATTCATAATATTGATATTCTTATATGCATTTTTTGCATTTTTTTATATAATATATTAATTTATCACATTTAAAATCTATATTTTATTTCAAACTTTTTTTTTTAAAAAATAGAACTTTAAAGTTATAATAAAATTTTTTGACGAAATTACCTCACAAATGGAAAATATATATTCCGTTGCACAATTAGTGCTTGGATCTTTTTATGAAATCATAAAAGACGAAGAAAAGGCATTCCAGTGTTACCTGAAATCAGCCGAAGGGGGAAACCTTATGGGACAATACAATGTAGGATGTTGTTATCAAAATGGAATTGGAACCATAGAAGATGAAGAAAAAGCATTCTATTGGTACCTGAAATCAGCTGAAGGGGGAAACGGTAATGGACAACACAATCTTGGATATTGTTACGAAAATGGGATTGGAACCACAAAAGATGAAGAGAAAGCTTTTCAGTGGTACTTAAAATCAGCCGAAGGGGGATGCATTATAGGACAATTCAATCTCGGAAGTTGTTACTCAAGTGGAAGAGGAACCACAATAGATGAAGAGAAAGCATTCCAATGGTACATGAAATCAGCTGAAGGGGGAGACAGTGATGCACAATTTAATCTTGGATGTTGTTATGAAAATGGTATTGGAACCATAAAAGATGAAGGGAAAGCATTTCAGTGGTACCTGAAATCAGCTGAAGGGGGAAACTTTATGGGACGATACAATCTTGGATGTTGTTATCGAAATGGGATTGGAACTACCAAAAATGAAAAGAAAGCATCCCAGTGGTACTTGAAATCAGCTGAAGGCATTGTGGGCTACCAGTAAATTTAGTACTACCATTTTTTGTATATTCAATAGTGTATTTATGAAAAATATGCACCTTTTATGATTACAATTTTAGAATTTTAGAAATAATGATAATAAGATTTCGGAGTTAATAATAGCTGCGTCATTTCAATAGTTTTTTTTTTTTGAGTAAAATAGTACTTTTATTGTATTATTAAAATTAAAAATTATTTATTTAAATGATAATCAAATAAAAAGAAACGAAAAAAAAAGTGGAAAAAACCACAGAAATCTACTTAAAAAATCAATTAAAGAGTGAAAAAAAACGATAAAATGTGTTATAGGCATTTTCTAAATCAAATAATAATTGTCACCCTTGACCTTCATCCACAGCTTTTACGTTTAATTTGAGTGCATAAAAATTAAAAGATTAATAATAAAATAAAAATAAAATAAAAAAATATTAAGAGGAGACTCGTTAGTCGTTAAAAAAAAAGGAAAATATATATATATATATATATTAAAACTTAATTTATATACACACGGAAACGGTTTTGGTAATATATTTTACGGATATTCTAACCAATTCCATAAAATGAATTTTGAGAAAAGAAATTTGTATTCCTTCATTAGGTCATTTACTAAATTTCGTGTTTAATTTGTACGCGAGAGGTGTGTAACTATTTTGAAATGAAAAATTCAAATTAACAGTTATAAAACTAAAGAAATATATGTCACAATCGTGGCTTACACATATTGTTTGTGTACAAATTAATAACCTAAATTAGAATAATTTTCTGATGGAAAGAAACGTACTGCATTATCTAAAATTCATGTTTGTGAAAGTTAAAATTTATTGATAATGCTTTATAAAAACATGATGCTATTTATAATATTCAAAAAAACTTTATTTTTTCAAGAAACCCAAATTTAAAAATAACATATTAACATCATCAACATTATCATTAGTGAAATCATTTTTTAAAAAATTATAATAATCATTATAATAACAAGGGTTTAAAGATAGGGGAACTTTATTAGCTTGAATTTTTAGTTAATCACTGTACATTTCACAATTCAAAAATACAAATATTATATTTCACATGCATTTAATAATAATAAATTCACCAAGATTATTTTTTATTTTAAGATTGATTTGTCATGTGATTTCTTGAATAATCGTTATGACCAGATTAGAATGTGTTAAATTTAAAAATTTAATTTCTTTGATCTGATGTGAATTGTTATTTATTAAATTAATTCATCTAGATGTACTGAAATTTTTTAATGAAAGAGGTATTGAAGTTTAATTAATAAAAGAAGAAAAATGTTGGTTAATTCATAGAATAATAATGTAATTAATTTATGACAGGTATATTTAAAAAGGTCATTTATATTACAGTGATAGATTTTGAAATATAAATTATAGTGTACAATAAAATATCAATACAATTTGAATTAAAATAGTAAAAGTTACATTGTGTGCTCAATTTGGAAACTAATTTTATATTCATCAAAATTTATTTAAAATTTTAATACATTTTTTTATTCAATATTATTATCAAAAATAAATTAAATTCTAAATAGTTTCGTATTTAATCTAAAGGAAATTTAATGAAAGAAGCTAAGTTGAATACAATTAAAATTAAAGAAGAAGAGACTTATTGTTCCACATTAAATAGAAATATTGGGTCATCAAAAAGTCGAATATTTCATTTATTTTAATTTATTCAACATTATCAATTATTACCACATTTTAAATATGAAAATATATATTCTATTTCTTATATATTCTAAATTTTCTCTTCATCTTCATTTCTTATCTACTAATCAATATAAATATTAATAATTGACAAAAGTATAAAGAAAGTCTTTTCTACGTTTTGTTTAATAATAAAAAATTAATATGGAATCCATTCCCCTTTTTTTTATTATAAGTTTCCATCATAAATTCTGTCAAATTTTCGGTTACCGCTTTTTTAGCGATGCTCCGTAAATTTTCGATAGGACTATTGGATGGAAAATCAATTATCTCAGGGAAGTTTCCTCTAAGAGATTCTGTCTATATGACTTGTATGTTCGGATTATTGTCCCGTTGAAATTTCCAATCATTATTTAACATCCTTGTGATCTCAGATAAGTGTTGTCTTTAAATACTGACCAATCCATGATTCCCCTAAAACAAAAAAAAAAAAAAAAAAAAGGCTAATTTTGCCTTGTGCACAAAGTTCATCCCAAACAAAAATTTTTGGTGCATGCAGCAAACTGGACATGCCCCCTTGTATCAATGTTTTTTATTGTATTCCCAAACAGTTGAAAAAAGCTGTTGTCTAAAAATAACATTTTTCTCAAGGTGGTTTTACCTATTTTAGGTGCTTTTATTTGTGTGCTACTGTTAACATCGGTAAACCTTTTGTTATACCCACCCTTACACAGTTTTTAAACAACTTAATTTACCAAAGTCTGATAAGATATTGAGGGATTCCTTCTTATATACTGAGCAATTGCCCTAGAATTTTCTGGAGTAATTTTTTTTTGGGCGTCCTCGGCATTTTTTATGAGCTACACTTCCAGTTTTTTCATTGTAATAATAGTTGGAATATTCGATCTCTGTTATACTCTTTTGCATTTCATATACCAATTTCCCACAAATTTTTTATAGTTTCGGCATGTGTATTTTTACTTGTCATTGTTCGAAAAGACGATAAATTCGGCGATTTTCAAAGATAAAAAGATTATGATTAATCGCACTTGACATTATATTGAGACGGCACGAAAATAGCCGGAGTCACGGGGGATGATAGAGGATGATATGTATCACTATTTGGATGAAATTATCTTTGTATAATATCCTCGTGTTTATGGTGATGGTGGATGAAAGTAAACAAAGGGTAAGATATAAAATAGCTGCGGAAAAAAAAGGAAAAAAAAAGAAATCCCTCTTCGCCAAAAAGAACATGAACCAAAATAAAATACTTTACTTGATATTTCGAACAATTTTAATTTTAGTTTTATTTTTACTTAAATATTTTGAACATTTTAATTTTAGTTTTATTTTTACTTAAATATTTAAAACATTTTATTTTTACTTTTCATTCGTAATACTTCTTAATAATAATAAATAATATAATCATGGAACTAGCGAAGCGATAAGATATGCCAAAGCAGTAATATATCGCTATTGTTATTCTCTTTTATTTCTTTTATATCTTTGCAATAATTTCAAACATAAATTTTGTGTAGCGGAATAACAAAAGTGATAAGATACGCCAAAGCAGTAATATATTGCTTTTGTTATATCCAATATTAAACTTTAATAAACTATTTCTTTTATTTCTTGGCAAGTTACATCAAAAAGTCTACAATAGTTTTGGTAGTGTGCAAGCAGTTGTTAAAGATACTTTTACTCCACTTGCTCATCGTACCTTCAGATATTAAACAAAATTGCATTGTTTGAGTGTTAGTAAGCAGGTTTAGATTAACTGATTACCTGTCTTGCTGTGATATTGTGTACAAGAGATAGTGTGTTAGTAATACCTAGGGGATAGATAAATCTATGGGGGGACAACTTAAATGTTACACAATATAATTTTAATATAGTGATTATTTCTAGAACTGAAGCCATATGTAATTTACTAAGTAATATTATGTAAAGAAATAAATTACCGAACTTTAACAAAGAATTGAAAAATATATTTAAATAAATCACAAGATAAAAAACTAGTATATAAATAATATAAGCTTCAAGAGTCCATGTATATAATTTTTAAATTTGTTTTGTTTTTTTGTCATGAAAAAAATTGGATTGTGACTTTTATATATTAAAATATAAAAGAAAGCATTATTCTTTTATTAAAAATGGTAAATGAAAAAGATATTTTTTTGAAAAATTTTAAAAGTTTTTCTTATAAATTTATTTAAATAATATATAGGAACATGATATTACCTTATTACCACCACCAAAATAACAGAAAAAAAAAAAAACTTTACAAAAACTTCTATATTTAAGATCTGATCTTAAAGAAAAAAAAGTTTATTTTTTTTCAACTTTGAATAAATATTTTGAAGGTATACTTTTTTATAATATAAAAAAAAAGAAAACTCAAATTTATTGTAACAAAAAAGATCAAATGTTTGAAACATTTTCTCAATAGATAAATTCATTAAAACGTCAAGGATTATTTAAAGGATATCGATCTTCTATTGTAGCTATCTTTTTGGAACCTAATCCTACTGGTTTATCGATTGCAACTATATTGCATAATTCTGATCATAAACCCTATTTAAAAAAAAAAAATTAATAAATAATTTAGATATTTTTGAATTTATGTAGAAGAAAGTATTACTGAGTAAAGAATTTGTAAGAACAGCAATACATGTAATAAATGAAGGATTAAAATTTTATTTCTTGAAAGAACAATTAGAAAAAAAATTAACAATAATTACCAAAAATGAATTACATAGTTATGAATTTTGTGTACTTAATAAAGTAGTATAAGAAACTTTTCTTCCGTTTCCAGTTAAAGCAATGGAAAGAACACTTGATAATATAATTGACATTATTTATTATGCATTTTCCATAAATATATGTTGTGGCCAATACTGGTTAAAAATTGATAAAACATACACATATTAGATATCCAATATGTGTATGTTTTATCAATTTTCAACCAGTGTAAAGCACAAAAAGTATTTAATTTTAATTAACTATTGTTTAAAATATTTTATAATTTTAATTAATTTTTAATTTTTCTATAATTTTTTAAAGAATTTAAAGATGTAATATATATCCGTGGAAATGAACTTATAAATAATGATAAAGATCATACACCCTTTGCATTAATGGAAAAAAAAAGACAATTTGATGAAATTTATCAAAGAATAGATTGTACAATTGTTACAAAAGAAAATAATTTATGTATTAATTATATTAAATTAAAAAAAACATTACAACAAATTCAACGAAGAATTTTGTCTAAAGTAGATTCTACAAAAATAATATATTCTTCCAAAGAAATACTTATAGAAAAAATTTATCAAAAACAAATAATTATCAAAAAACAAAAAAGTTTAATTAATGATTTAAAAGAACATTTACTTAATAAAATTAAAATAGAAAAAGAAGAAACGTCCAATGAAATTGTAAATATTGCACATAACATTTTTGAAGAGTTTATCAATAAAAATATTGATATTTCAAATCTGCATCCTATTTTTCAAGAACTTATTAATATTCAAATAAAGAAACCAAAAGAAATTAGATACCATCCAATGTAAAATTTAATTATTAAATATGTAATTATTTATTAAATAATTTTTTTAATATATTTTTTTTCAGGTTTTTAAGATAGGCAATATCTGTTTATAGCCGATCAGGATTTGCAGCTTACAATGCCATGAAAATGATAATGCGTTTACCATCAGTTTCAACAATTAAAAATTATATACATGAATATGAACAAAATACTAGATAGCAAGATAAAATTACATATCAATTAATATCTAATTTAATAATAAATAATATTTGGGGATATGGACGAATTGGATTTTTTTCCCATGATTCTTTCAAGATACAAAAAGATATAAACATTTATTATTACTTTTATATTTATTTAAAAAAAATAATTTAATTTTTAAAATTTTATTTATTATAGGATTATTATGGAATCAATGTAAAAATTGTTATGTTAGTTATTTGAATTTCGAAGATGAAATGAATGAATATTAAGAATTTGCTTTACAATGTCAATATGAAATAGAATCTATTATTCCTTCATCAGACAATACAGTACCTAATAAACAAAGACACAATCTTGTAACATAAGTACATCAATTTATTTGGCATTCAATTATATATAATTTTTCATTTCCAATATCATATTATGGAATCAATAACATTACAATGCATAATTTAAATATTTTAATTTTTGAACTGGCTACAAAATTGAAATGTATAAGTATACATACTTTAGGTTCAGTATGTGATGGAGCAGGAGAAAATCGAGCACATATTAAAAGTTTTGATTGACATGCATCGAAATGGATGTGTGAAGATATTGTTGAAGTTAATTTTAATAAAGATAGAAAGTCTTTCCATATAACAAAAATTATAGAAAGCAATTATGAAAAAACAAAATTTATTGTTAGTTTACTTGACACTTTTGAAACAATAGAAATTGATCGAAAATATATTCGTCCACCAATGCTATCAAAATCAAAATGAAAAATTAATGAAATGTGTGAATACAAAAGTTCTAAAGATAATCAATGGTATTTAGCAAAAATTGTTGATTATGATTTAAATGATATAATTAGAAATTTCTGAAAATATGAAAAAATGAAAAGTTTTTATCCAATGTGTTAATAATTTTCTTTGATCCATTTATAATGTACAAGAGCTTTCAGTATATTACAAATCAGTAAATTTAATTATCAGAGAAGATTAGTTTTTTATTAGTGATCCAACACATGTTTTTAAAAAATTTAGAAATAATTTATCAAAAAGTTAGATCGGAGAAAAAAATAGTCAAGAAATAATGTTGAATAATAAGGAAATTAGTTGGAAACATATAAAAGGAGTATATAATCACACAAATAGACATGTAACAGCAAAAGCTACAAAACTTATCAAACAACATATATGGCTTTCATCATGATGTAAAATATTAATTTTATTTATTTTTATTATATTATTATTTAATGTATTTATTATTTATTTGTAATTTATGTTAAT